GAGGAGAGAAATAGAGAGCTAGAAACATCGATGAGAGAGAGACATCAACCAGCTGCCTCCCGCACACCCCACACAAGGGATGTGCCTGCAACCAATGTACATGCCCTTGACTGGAATCGAACCTGGGACCTTTCAGTCTGCAGACCGACGCTCTATCCACTGAGCCAAACCGGTTTCAGTAAGAATCAGTAAATTTTTTTTAAAGTTATGTGAAAGGAGAGGGAGGAGTGTGTGTGAGAGAAATCAATTTGTTGTTCTACTTATTTATGTACTAGAGGCCCGATGCACAAAATTCATTCTAGAGTAGGCTTTTGCAACTGTGGCAGCTGCCTGGATCCCTCCCTCACCGGCTTGGTCTGGAAGGATGTCCAGAAGGACATCTGGTCTAATTAGCATATTAACCTTTTATTATATAGGATTCTTATATGTGCTCCGACCACGGATCGAACCTGCAACCCTGGCTCATTTACTAATTCCCGCCCTGGCTGGGTAGCTCAGTTGGTGATAGGAGGGATCACTTGATGTTGACACACATTAGCCATCTTGGCACAAACATTGTGGTGTGGCAAAACTAAAAATCAGCCGAGACCGGTTTGGCTCAATGGATAGAGCGTCGGCTTGGGGACTGAAGGGTCCCAGGTTCGATTCCGGTCAAGGGCATGTACCTTGGTTGCGGGCACATCCCCAATAGGGGGTATGCAAGAGGCAGCTGATTGATGACTCATCAATGTTTCTAACTCTCTCTCTCTCTCTTCCTCTCTGTACAAAATCAATAAAATATATTAAAACAAAAAACAAAAAACAAAAAAAAAACTAAAAATCATTTTAATTCCTTTTCTCTCTCTCCATTTTAAGCATAGACCTGACTCCGGTAAGTCCAGAGACCTCTTGGGACATGACCCCAAAAAGCACGTTAGACTGTGGATCCACAAATCTACCATTTTCCTTTCCTTTCCTGAAAGTGAGGATTGGTTTGTGAAAAGCTGTTAAACAACATGCTTAATGTGAAATGTCAGCCCTTACTCTAAACTGTCCTTGTTCTGAGCATCAGATGAAGACTTGGTTGGGTTTTATAGTGGCTTTCTGATTTTGGTAGTCCGTTGACGAGGGGAGTTTGAAAGTTGTTGTATACTGTTAAGGATTGTCTACCCATGTCCTGCCTTGAAACACAGTGATTATTTATGAAAAGGCATCTTTAATAAAGCTGGATACAGTTTGGCTTTGGGGGCAGGGGGTAAACAGAGCCTGGAAGACCTTGGCACACGGAGGCCAGTGCGCGCGTCCATGGGTACACTGTTCCCCAGCCTGCCCAGCACAGGCTCCGGCTGGCGGCGGACACTAAAGCGGGCGCCTCCACGTGCACCAAGCCTTCCCAGCACTTTGCACGGGAGAGAAACTGAGGCCTAGGTCTGGCAGCAGCTCGCCCTGCCAGAAAGAAACCGCACATCAGGGCAGCCTCAGACCCCAAGGTCCCTTCCACTGACCTTGTTTCAGAACCTTCTTCCGGGCCTCCTTGTCGGTCACCAGGGGCGCGGGGGGCCGTTTGACGTCCTCGGAGAAAGGGTTCGGGGAGCTGCCCGAGAACAGCCCCAAGTAAACCTGGCGGAGGACGGCCAGCAGCAGCAGCACGGACAGCAGCACCAGGGCGAGCCACATGGTTGCCAGTCCGAGGACTGGCTCGCGCTCCGCCGGCGCCCAGATTTGTGGTGGAGAACCCATCCCGCAGGTTGTCCTGCCCGGAGGGAGGCGGGGGCGGGGGCTGTCCCGGGGAGCAGCGCTGCTGTTATTGGCCAGAAGCCCCGACTCCCGCGAAGATTGGCCCTCTCGGCGCTCCGTACGGCCGGGAGGCGGTGTGCGGACGCCACGCCCGCGGGAGGCGCGCCCCTTCCCCGCCGGCGCGGGGCGGGCGGGCGCATGCGCAGTGGGAGGCGGCCGGCGGCGGCTGCGGTGGGAGAGCTTTGGGGGCGCGCGTTGGGCCAGCCCGGGGGCCCTGAAGGAGGGAATGTGGGGTGCCAGTGGTGGTCCCGGGGCGAGGCGAGGCTGAGAGGTACGGGACTGAGAGAGAACCCCGACGGGGACGCCGGAGACTTGGGTTCCGGCCCGCGCTCGGCCGAGGACCTGAGGCAAGTGGCTTTGCTCAGTTTCCCCTCCGGAGAGAGGTGTCCGTGCGGGACCCGCTCGCCGCCGGCGGGCGCCCGGCCCCCCAGCTCCCCAAACTGGCCGCGGCGCCCCCAGGGAACGGCGTTGCGTGGGCGGGGCCTGCGGGCGCCCCCGGCCTCCGGATGGTCCCGCGGCCCCTCCCTCCGTGGGGGCGGCCCCTCCTTCTGTGAGGCGGCCCCTCCCTCCGTGGGCCGGCCCCTCCCTCCGTGGGCCGGCCCCTCCCTCCGTGGGGGCGGCCAGGGGACCGGGCGGGACCGGGGCGTCCAGCGACGAGCCTGATGGAAGGACCGGAGAGCTGCCAGACCTGTGTGGGCATTTGTTGTTGAGGCGTGGGCCCCGTTTCTAAATTAAATACCTACTCAGAGTTTAAGCTCCACAAGCAGTGAGAGAGTCAAACCCCAATGAAGTCCCTTCTCTTAAGCGGATACACCATAAATACTTCCTTTAAAAAGGATCCATCTTACCTGGCAGCGTGACTCAATGGTTGAGCGTCGGTTTATGAGCCAGGAGGTCACCGTTGGATTCTGGTCGGGGCACATGCGGATTCTGGGCTTGATCCCCAGTGTGGGGTGTGCAGGAGGCAGCGATCAATAAGTCTCATCCTTGATGTTTCTATCTCTCTTACTCTCGGAAATCAACAAATTATATATATAAAAGGAAGGCCATTTCCTTAGGTCCAGCTCTAAGGAACATGCCTAATAGAGATGGGAGTGACCTAAGAACTAACAGTTCTTGTGCGTTTGACAGTTTGCTCCTTTCTTTCTCTGATAAGATAGTCACTGTCCCTGTAGAAGCTCCCAGCAGTGCTCCAGCCAGAACCGAGGCCCCAGCAGGCGTGTAATGCTGCTCATGCTTCTACTCTGCTTGGCTCATTTCATGCTCGGTGCCAGAAGGGCTTCCTGAGATTGCTGTTACCCTACCTGCCTCTCACCTTCCCAAGGCTGGCTGGTGTATGAGTGTTTTGTCAGAGAAGGAGGGGGAAAAGGGAAGCAGATGCTGAGGCCCCGAAGGACATAGAGGGAGCTGGTTCCTGAGCTGCCATGAGTAAGGAACGCTATCCTCTCTCTAACGCACAATGAGCCAGATCCCCAGCCCAAGAGCCAGGAGGTATTCCTGCTCCTTGGGTAGGAATCAGTGTGTCCTACCCCAGCGAAGAGTCCTGATTGTTATTGGCAGCCAGTTCTTAGGGAATCCAAATTATAATCCCACAGTGAGGCTGACCTAGAGATGAGGCCCTTCTTAGACACTCGAGTCTGTGAAGTATGATGGTCAGTTGTGTGTGGGCCATCTGTCCATTATGATCTGGCTTTTTGATTTTTTTTTTTAATAATTAAAGAGGAAGATGATATGAAGCTTGAATCAAAGGCAGTTTTTGTTTTGTTTTTTTTTGGTATGTATTTATTTTAGAGAGGGAGAGAGAGAGAAACATCCATTGGCTGCCTCCTGCATGCCCACTACGGAGGATCAAGCCAGCAACCCCAGGCATGTGCCTTAACTGGGAATCGAACTGGCAAATTCTTGGAGCATGGGATGATGCTCAGTTAGCTGAGTCACACCAGCCAGGGCTGACCTGGCTTTTTGTTGTGATGTATCCATGGTCCCGTTCTCCTGTGATGGAAGTATGGGCCTCTCCCTCTCTCTTCTGAAGATAGATGTGGAATGAAAGGCTGAGTTAGCCAAACTGGCTAAGCAGCTGCAACATGTGCAATATTAGTGACAACTGAAGAAGGCTAACATTGTGTTGCATTTTAAATTTCTCCCATCATAGGAACCAGGTCTAATAAGCCCAAGCCTGAGCACTTCAGCTGAGACTACCCCTCAAGATGCCACCCATTAGCCTCACCTCTTTGATAAACTTCCCCAGATTAACTCCACTGTCAGAAACAGAACCCCACCACTGGCAGTGGCACTGCTACCTTCTGGATACTGAGAACCCAGCCCGTAGACTCCTGCAGGGTCCCCTTTTTTCCATCCAGTGGTATGGGTAGTAAGAGGTAGGCCTTTGACCAAGGCAGCTTATTAAGAATAAATTTACAGCCTAGCTGGCAAGGCTCAGTGGTTGAGCATGAACCTATGAGCCAGGAGGTCTTGGTTTGATTTCCAATCACAGCACATACCAGAGTTGTGGACTCGATCCCCACTGTGTGGCATGCAGGAGGCAGCAATCAATGATTTTTTTTTCTCATCGTTGTTTCTGTCTCTCTCCCTCTGAAATAAAAAATATCTATTTAAAAAATAAAAATATTTTGCCGAAGCCGGTTTGACTCAGTGGTGGAGCGTCGGTCTGCGGACTGAAGGGTCCCGGGTTTGATTCCGGTCAAGGGCATGTATAATACCTTGGTTGCGGGCACATCCCCAGTAGTGGGTGTGCAAGAGGCAGCTGATCAATGATTCTCTCTCATTGATGTTTCTAACTCTATCCCTCTTCCTTCCTCTCTGTAAAAAAATCAATAAAATATATTTTAAGAAATAAATAAAATTAAATTAAAAATATTTTAACATTTTAAAAAGAACAAATTAACAACAAATTTTTTAAAGTCAGTTTTTCTCAGCAGAAGCATAACTGAATGATGAAACCAGTTTTCTTTATTTTTTTATTTTTTTACAGGGCTGAGGCTTCAAAGACCTCAGGGACTTCTTTCAGTCCTCACGGAAACCCACACCCTGGTGATGGCACAAAGGGACTGTTTTCTTGCCTTAAGTCTGAATGACTGCCAAAAAGGAAGGCAAAGGTGGAGCAGTTGGCTTTCTGGCTCTCCCCATAGCTTCTAATCGCAGACCTTAATAAACTCCTTTCTGAGCCCACGGACAAAGCTCATTTGAACAAATGATTCTGAGTCATGAATGAAAAATCTTGCTCTTTCCATAATGAGGAAGAATTAAGAGATGGACAGGTAAGCAAACACTTCTGTTTTGGGGGGAAAGTTTTGGTGTGGGGTATATCATTAACAGTAATAAAAACATCAAGCGAATGTGGAACTTTATGTTTAGGAAAAACCCTCATTATAGTTCTCTTTGTTCTATTAGAAGAAGCTTCTATTCACCTCTGGGTCAGTTGCCTTTCTGAGAGCCTATTTTTTTAGTGGGTTGTGGGATTTGAGTTTGGGTTGCTTGGTAGAATGAGAATTTCAGTGAGGAATCTTTCTAGACATTTGTATTGCATTGATTTGTATTTCATTGATTTGGCCTGATTATCCTCAGACTCTTGGTTCAGTGTGACCTATCTCTGTGCAAGTTTTATCTTTCCCACTACCTTGCCTAGAAATGTTTTCTTCTTAGAGAGAGGAATGGAGAAAGAGATCGAGATTGATTTCTTGTTCCACGTATTTATGCACTCATTGGTTGATTCTTGTATGTGCTCTGACCAAAAAATGTATTCCTAAGTGGAGCATGTGGGATATAGTGGTAGGAACTACGACAAAGCCTTTTTGCTTTGGGGGTTGCCTTCACTGAATTAAGACAGGTGAGCTGTTTTTCCAAAGGGAAGTCTTTGGACACTGGAGGGGACTGAACTGGAGAGGGAACGGAAGGATGAAATGAACCCTACGTACACAGATCCCTGCAGGGAGTTGTTCAGCATGGTGAATCACCAAGTATTTTTGATAACATATTTTGTGCCTAGTACTATATGAATGAGCATGGGAGATATAAAAGAAGTATATTAGTAAGAGACGGTCCTTATGCTCAAAGCAGCAGATTCTGAATGGGGAGATAGGCCTTGGCAGAGAAACCTGTGGTGCATATATAAAGGCTTTAGACTTAAGGTAAGTGAGATTCCATTGTAGCCCCAGTTGGTAAGGTAGGCCACCTTTAGGAGGTTTTGAAGGGAACTGAGGACACAGAGAAGTTGGAGGTAGATGTGTATTCTAGAGGAAAATCACATGACCCTAGAAATAGAAGTGAGAGTAATTGCAATAGTGTGTTCATTGGATTGAAATGGGAAATACTAATACGTAGGCATCATGAGGCCAGTTTTGGAGGAGTTGGCCCAGTTCTGGTATGTTAGGAGGTTCATTCTCATCTCCCAGGGATAAAAAAAATCAAAGCTGGCCGAAACCGGTTTGGCTCAGTCGATAGAGCGTCAGCCTTCGGACTGGAAGGTCCCGGGTTTGATTCCGGTCAGTGGCATGTACCTTGGTTGCGGGCACATCCCCAGTGGGGGGTGTGCAGGAGGCAGCTGGTCGATGATTCTCTCTCATTGATGTTTCTGGCTCTGTCCCTCTCTCTTCTTCTCTGTAAAAAATCAATAAAATATATATATATTTTTTTAATCAAAGCTGATTTTAAGGAGTATTAGCAAAAATATGTAGAAGGGATTAGAATAATGGGATAATCTAGGATTAGACGGCTTTGACTTCAGCAATGATTCCTTTATTAATTATTTTCTTTTTATTATATTTTTATTTATTCTACAGAAAATAATATTCACATAATTCAAATTTCAAGAACATACAGAGTAAGTGCTATGAAAAAATTGCCTTCTAGCCCTCGCTGATTTGGCTCAGTGTATAGAGTGTCAGCCTGTGAACTGAAGGGTCCCGAGTTCAGTTCCAGTCAAGGGCACATAACGGTTGTGGCTTGATCGCTGACCCTGGTCAGGGCACATATTCAAGAAGCAACCAGTTAATGTGTCTCTCTCACATCGATGTTTCTCTCTGTCTCTCCCCCTCTTTTCCACTCAAAAAATCAATGGAGAAATATCCTTGGGTAAGGATTAATAACTGCAACAACAAAACAAAAAAATTGCCACCCTAGCTGGTTTGGCTCAGTGGATAGAACATCAGCCTGTGAACTGGAGGGTCCTGGGTTGAATTCCGGTCAAGGGCACATGCCCAGGTTGTGGGCTTGATTCCCAAGAATGTATGCAGGAGGCAGCTGATCAATGATTCTCTCTCATCATTGATGTTTCTGTCTCTTTCTCCCTCTCCCTTCCTCTCTGAAATCAATTTTAAAAATATGTATATTTTTTTAAAAATTGCCTTCTACCTTTGTCCCATGGCCACCAGTTTTTAAAAATATATATTTTATTGATTTTTTTACAGAGAGGAATAGAGAGGGATAGAGAGTTAGAAACATCGATGAGAGAGAATCATCTATCAGCTGCCTCCTGCACACCCCGAACTGGGGATGTGCCCTCAACCAAGGTACATGCCCTTGACCGGAACTGAGCCTGGGACCTTTCAGTCCACAGGCCGAGGCTCTATCCACTGAGCCAAACGTTTTGGCCCATGGCCACCAGTTTTTCTGTTGAAGGCAAACTTAGTACCACTTCTGGAAATAGTCTCTGTAGACAAGCAGATATGATTATGTATTATTTTTAAATATAAACAGTAAAATAGTGTATAATCTACCCTTTGCTTTTTCACTTAATATGTCATGAAGATTGTCCCATATTGTCCATGAAGCACTTTCTTATTCTTCTTTATGTGTATAATAGGCTCTCATTTAGTGAATATGCTTTAATTTGTTTACTTAGTTCATTAGTGAACATTTTTTTACCCTTTTACTATTATAAACAGTGCTACAATGAATGACACCATAAGCATTTTATTTTGCACATGGATGAGTATCTCTATTAGATGAATCCTAGAATGCAATTGCAGGTCCAGAATGTACAAAGAATGTATAATTTTGTTGGGTATTGTCAAGCTATAGAAGTGGTAACAATTTATTCTCTAGTATTTGGTGTTTGATAATACACTAGGTGAAAAAGTGTTTCAGAGTAGTTTTATTTTACATTTCTCTTATCCTGATTAAGATAGAGCATCTTTTCATATGTTTAAGAACTATTTGTGTTTCTTTTTACGTAAAATAGCCATATCTATGCCTGTTTTTCTACTGGTTTGGGTAATTTTTTATTACTGGTTTTAGAACTTAATTTTTAACATATTAGGTAAATTAGTGCTATATGGGTGGTATGAGTTGCAAAAAGTTTGTCAGGTTTGTTTTTTAAGCTCTCATAGGGGAAAGGTTTGGCTGAGCAGAAAGGCCAAAAGTGAGGGAACTGCCTCACAGAATTTCACTTACTCAGAGACCTTTAAACAGAGCCAGGAAAACTGTGTAAGATTTCTGAGATAACATTAACTCAGCTTTTTGCAGGTTTTCTTAACATTAGATTAAACAGAAGCTTTCCCTTATAGTATTTCTTGTAGTTAACTTCTTAGGAGTTCATCCATTTGTGTGTGTGTGTGTGTGTGTGTGTGTGTGTGTGTGTGTGTGTGTGTGTGTGTATGGTACTGGGGAAAGGTGTGACATTTAAGCTGTCGTCTTTGGGGCTGACATGTGCCTGGGAGAGTGACTTTGGTTTGTCTTTCAGGTCAAAAGTGTGTCTGCTGGGAACTCTCCACCAAAGGACCAGGACAGCAGTGCTCTTCTGGCTTTCAGAGGAATTCCTGTACATATTGCACACACTTTAGTACCTCCCGCCAATACAAGTTTTTGTTGCCAGGAACCCATGACACAAGATGGCATATACCAGTGATTTGTTGCATGCTATTAGGTGGTGCCAGGAACCCATGACACAAGATGGCATATACCAGTGATTTGTTGCATGCTATTAGGTGGTGCCAGGAACCCATGACACAAGATGGCATATACCAAACTGTGGCTCGCATGCCACATGCAGCTCTTTGGCCTCTTGAGTGTGGCTCTTCCACAAAATACCATAGGCAGGCACGCACGTACAGTGTGATTGAAACTTCGTCGCCCATGCGCAGAAGTCGGTTTTCAGCTCTCAAAAGGAATTTAAATCGTACGGTTGATATTTGGCTCTGTTGACTAATGAGTTTGCTGACCAATGCCATAGACCCTGCCCTTCAGGAGCTCATACTGAGGAGAAGGGGTGTGGGGCACAAACAAACAAAAAACAGCGTCTGTCTAGTAAGATAATTGCTCTAGTGAAGCAAAATATAAAGTGCAACGGGAATACCAAAGGCACATGCAGCCTTATTGAGTTGTGTGGATTTTGATTGTTTACTATGCATGGAAGGCATACACGTCCCCACATCACTTAACTTCTACATCAGAGTTGGAGTTTTCCAGGTGCCTCTCTTTAAGATTGGCTTTAATCAACCCATCAAAGTAGATTAGATCCTGCTGGCCCAAAGTTTCAGGGATATTCAGTACAATGGGTGGGGCATGTTTGTGTGGCTGTGGGGACATGAATCTACCCTTACACTAAAGATCACTGCCCTGCAGATATCGGAGTTGAAGAACCACAGCCTCCTCCGAGCCCTGACCACAGACACTAATGGATGGGCTCCAGGTGGTAAGTCCCCTTTAGGGCCCTTGGAGCTTGGGTGGCCCAAGTCAGAGCTGCCCATGGATCTGCTTTTCATCATTTGAATTTCTCAGTACTTGTCCTACAGAATTTTGCAGATTTATCATTATTCAAGGAAAATTAGAATCAACACTGGAGGAGTCACAAGATCTGAGTTATAATCTAGCCCTACTAGCCCTGCTAGTGACTGATTATGTGCCTTTGGGAAAATAATATAATCTCTGTGTCTACAGTAGAAATAGTAAAACCTCCTTTATCCTCAAAAGGATATTATGATAATGAAATAAAACAGTATATGCAAAAGGGCTTTGAAAAAACATCTTATTTTATCTGCTTTATATGGTTCTTTCCTACATTACTGGGTGGGCAAAAGCAGGTTTACGGTTGTTCATATGGAAAATAATGCAGTAATCCATATATAAGTGCCTAATATGCAAATTGTCCCCTTCTGAGTTCGACCAGGAGACCAGGAGTTCGACTGCTCACTATGACATGTGCTGACCACCAGGAAGCAGTGTGGAACAAAGAAAGGCCCTGGCCGGAAGCCAAGGAAGGGAGGCACCAGCCGGCCAGCAGGCCCCCATCAGCCCTGATTGTGGGCCAGGCCTAAGGACTCTACCTGTGCATGAATTTTGTGCACCAGGCCTCTAGTCTATATACATAAAGGCCTAAGCCATCAGTCAACTGGCTGGTAGCTATGATGCACACTGGCCACCAGAGGGCAGACATTCAACACAGGAGTGGGAAACACAGGCATGGAAACATGGAACAAACTGATGAATCTTGGAGGGAAGAAGGCGGGGGAAGAGATTAACCAAAGATCTTATATGCATACTAGAGGCCCTTGGCCTGGCCTGTGTGCACCTTCTTGCAATCTGGGACCCCTCGGGGGATGTCGGAGAGCTAATTTTGGCCTGATCCCTGCAGGCCAGACTGAGGGGCCCCACTGGTACATGAATCCATGCACCAGGCTTCTAATTGATAAATATTAATACAAATATAAACTTTGTTTTGCTTACTTAAAATTATAAACCTGCTTTTGCCCCACACTGTTTTTGTTGTTGTTGTTGGTGGTGGTGTTGTTAATCCTCACCAGAGGATATGTTTTCCAATGATTTTTAGAGTGGAAGGGAGGGAGAAAGGGAGAGAGACATTGATGTTATCAAGAGTCACACCAATTTGCAGTCTAGGTATGTGCCCTTGACTGGTAATTGAACCTGTAACCATTTGGTGCATAGGCTGGTGCCCTAACCATTGAGCACACCATCCAGGGTGAAGGGTTTTTTTTTGTTTTTTACCATCATGGTAGATCAAGTATTCTATATTCTGTTGAAGTTATCCAGCTTGGAAGCCCTGAGGTTCTGTGTCTGCTGCCCCACCCAGAGTTTGGGGCTGATAAGATTGAATTTCCCAGAGTTCTATACATTCAGGACCCAGGATCCATCTGATCTGCCACCACTTTTCACTGCCCTGCTGGGCCCAAGCCCACGACTGTGTCCATGATACTAGCTAACATGTGTTAAGCACTTACCTTTGGGCCACATATTCCCCGAAGAGGTCGAAGAGTTACATCGACCGCATAGTAGACCATGAGAGGTTACCGATGGTTAAGTAACTGGCCCAAAGAACAGCTAATAAATGGAGAGGAACTGTTCACCAGCAGTAGGCTCTAGAGCAAGCATGTCAAACTCAAAGGCTAACATGGGTCAAATAAAGGAGGCATGTGGCCTGTGGGTCACGAGTTTGACGTGCTTGCTCTAGACTCAGTGTGCTTTCAGCAACCATCCGCTACTGCTTCCAGCCACTCTTCCTCATTATCCACTGGTGTTTTGAGTTCTTGGTAGAATTTTATTTAATTTGCAAGTATACTTTCAAAATAGTTTATTGTCACATGAGGTCCTCAGCCATGAGTTCAAGGCAGAGAGGAACTGTCCTAAACTGCTTTTACCACTGAGGCTGGAGGGATCTCAGTTTTTGCTATTTAACTGAAGACTCTTCATCCTTTCCATTATTTATTGACGTCCTCCATAGCAAATGGGAAAAACCAGTGACAGGACACGCCACTAGCAATTTGGGCCAGAGAGTGAGAGCTGTGGTTTGGAGGAAAGGGCCATGTAGTGGCTATAGAGAGCCTATCATGCTGTTGTTGTTTTTTCTTCTACTTCCTCCCTCTTATCATACTTTATTCATTCATCAAATATTGAGCACGTGTCATGTGTCAGGCACTGTCCTAGGTTCTGGAGAGCCTCACCCTCATGTAGCTCCCAGTGCAGTGGGAGAAAGATGGTCACAAGACTGATAGGCATCCAGGTGAGGGTGGTAATCAAAATTAACTGAAGGATGAGGAGGAGTTACACCAGAAGAGATTTCAGTTGACGGGCTTGCTGACTATCATCAGAGGGAGAGCAGTCTGAGCCACAGCACTGGAGGTGGGAAGTATGAAGAACCTTTAGGTAGCCTTTATGTCGGACAGCAGAATTAGAGAGGTAAAAGGGTCCAGATTGTGAGTACTGAGATGCTGTGCTAAAGAGTTGAGTTTTACCTTGAGAGTTATGGAGGATCCCTGGAGGGTTTTGACCAGGGAGCCAGGGTGGGACATCAGATCTGCCTTTCTGGAAACTCACTCCGGCAGCCTCGTGAAGAGGGTACCTGAGGGCAGCAAGACCCAAGGCTGAGGGCTGACGGTGATGCAGACTGCCCTGAGCTCAGAGGGTCTCCTTTTCTCACTGTTGCAGTTGTGAGCCCAGAGGTGCTCAGAGCCCAGGAAGAATGGGAAGCCGTGCAGAACATCCAGCCGGATACAGGTAACCGCAAGAATGACCCTGTCTCCACCCAGTCTGCTGCAGGTCAAGGCACTGTCCACACATGAGGCTAATGTTTCTGTGAATCTGAGATTAGGAGACAGTTCCTGAAAGGTCTTATTTTGGCTGTATGAAATAGAATAAAAACTTTCCAAATCTAACGACGACTTTCTGGAAGAAATGGGAATGAATGCCATGGGGAAAGGGCTGCCAACCCTGAGAATTCAGGGAGGACCGTGGCATGGTCAGCTTCTGTAGAGGGATGAGGTTAGCAGAAGGATGGAGGCGGGCAGCCAGGACCCCTGCATAAGGCTGAGCAGGTTGTTCACTATACAAGGAAATCCCTGGAGTTGGGGGCTGAAGCCATCTGCTGGAAGGCTCTGGGCTTCCTAAAAAAATTTCTCACATCTCTTTCTGAGAGCTACAGGAAAGCAGAACTAGTACCATATGGGAGAGACGTTATTGTAAACTGACAAGTTAATTCCCTGTGGACAGGAACACAGGATAGAGAGAGAGCCATTCATATATAGGGTGTGAGAAGGGGCAAAGTAGGAATTAGGGAATACCCCTGAGCAAAACTGTGGCACACACTCTAGTGTGTACCTACTCCACTCAGTGACACCCCCCCACAGGTGAGTGGAATTTAGGGAGTCCCTGAGGGGCAGATCCTTCCCTACTCACAGCATAGATGGAATTGCAAGCCTCTGACCAGCCTGGTCTGAAAGGGAAGTTGATCCAGCAGCTTTGGGTGTCTGGTGTTTACAGCTGGAATCTGAGCTTAGAGGTGACAACTGGAACGCCTCAGTGAATGCCTGCTGACACTGACTACTGTTACAAATCCTGGGTTTTTGCCTCTTCCCTTTTGCCACAGGAAGCCAGACAGACCAGCCTGCACAGCTGATCTCCTTCAGTGAGGCCCTGCAGCATTTCCAGACCATCGACCTCTCCTCCTTCAAGGTATGACATAGGGAGTTTTGGGATCTCCACTTCTTCCCAGGAGCCAGGTTTCTATCCCACCAGGACAGGGCACTGAGCAGATGGAAGCTTCCAGTTGAGAGTCCTGTCTCACCTAGAAAAATCTTGGGGTACAGGTTCGTGGCTGCCAAAGACACTTGTTGCATGCAGGACCCCCGTGGCCTTTCTGGGTCTGTGCCAAGAGCCTGGTGGCCCTGTCATACCGAGGTCCATGTAGCTGCTCCCTGCTCTTCCCTGGTAATGATGGGGAGGTCTGGAATCAAATACTCGGTAGTTCCTTGAGGAAGCAAGGCAGCCTGTCCAGAACTGAGTAATTAATGGCTAATGTAGGAAAATACCCCATTCTCTAAAGGTATTAGAAGCTATCAGGGAATTTAAAAAATAATATAAGATTGGGGCCGAAACCGGTTTGGCTCAGTGGATAGAGGACTGAAAGGTCCCAGATTCGATTCCGGTCAAGGGCATGTACCTTGGTTGCGGGCCCATCCCCAGTAGGGGATGTGTAAGAGGCAGCTGATCGATGACTCTCTCTCATCGATGTTTCTAACTCTCTATCACTCTCCCTTCCTCTCTGTAAAAAATCAATAAAATATATTTAAAAAAATATATATATATAAGATTGGGAAAAGAAAGAATCCTATATAATAAAAGGCTAATATGCAAATCGACCAAACGGTGGAACTACCGGTCACTATGATGCACACTGACCACCAGGGGGCAGACACTCAATGCAGGAGCTGCCCCCCTGGTGGTCAGTGCACTCCCATAGGGGGAGCACCGCTCAGCCAGAAGCCAGGCTTACAGCTGGGAGCACAGCAGTGTGATGGGAGCCTCTCCTGCCTCTGTAGCAGTGCTAAGGACCCCTTGGGGGGTCCTGGACTGCGAGAGGATGCAGGCCAGTCTGAGGGACACCCCCTCCCCCTCCAGTGCACAAACTTTCGTGCACCGAGCCTCTAGTATTGAGAATAAAAGCTGGCGAGCTTTCTGGGGCATCTTGAGTGACCAGTAGTAAGTTTAGAGGAATGTGATTTCAGATCTTGTACCTAAAACCTGGCTCAAGAAAGGCTGAGAAGATAGGAATCAGGTTGCCAGAAGCTACCCAGATCAGTTTGTTTTAAGTCCCTGGCAGCAGCCCTGTGCAATGAGAAGCCAGCATGGCCTGGTTTAGGAAGTGCTGGTAGTGGTGGTAGCAGAAGGCTCTAGCTCCCCTCAGAGGTACCCAGCTCCAAAAAAGTCTCCACTCCACTCCTGACCCCACTGGCTGTCTCATCCTAGAATTTGAGAGTGGTGCTAGACTTTATAAATTACGTCCTTTGTGGAGAGACACAGGCAGATATACAAAGGCTATGCAGAAGCAGCCCTGCTAGGAAACCTGGTCTGGTGTTTGTGAGACCACATGGGGGAGTCCCCTCAGCCAGCTTCCTTGACAGTCAATGGAATAGCTAGTTCTGGAAGAGCCCAAAGGACCAAATGTACACAACTGACTGATATGCTTGGGGACATCTCTGTTTACAAAGAACTTAAGAGCTGGGAGAGCCTGTCTCCAGAGCTTCTTCAGATGCTTCACAGCGTCTGCCCCCTTTTTCCCTGGCCCAGAGACCAGCCACTTAATGGGAGCACTATGTCTTTCTGAAAGAATAGTCCCTGTGCTTAGCCTAATGACAAGTTCATTAAAGCAGGTGAACCCAGCATGCTACCCATTATCTGCAACTTTCTCCCCAGAAAAGGATCCAGCCAACGATTCGAAGGACTGGGCTTGCTGCCCTCCGGCACTGCCTCTTCGGGCCTCCAAAGCTCCACCAGGGCCTCCGTGAAGAAAGGGACCTGGTCCTGACCATTGCTCAGTGTGAGTGCACTGGCACCGCCACAGAGCAGATGCTGCCGATGAGGTCTGGCAGAGAGCGCTGTTTGCCCACCTTGTTACTAAGCCTCACCCAAGGGTCTTGCATTTTCCGTGTTGATGTGGGGAGCAGGGGCTGAGAGTGAAAGTCTGGGAGAACAGGGTGTCTTTGAGTACAGTCTGGATCTATCTTGAGAAGCACTTAGTCTTCCCTTGAAAGGCAAGCCAACTGAAACATGGGTGTATTTCGGGACAGGTGGCCTGGATAGCCAAGACCCAACACATGGCCGAGTCCTCAAGACCATCTATAAGAAGCTGACTGGCTCCAAGTTTGACTGTGCCCTCCACGGAGATCACTGGGAAGATCTGGGCTTTCAGGGTAAGAGAGAGGAATGGTTCATCTTCTCTTCTTGGACCCCTGATTCCGGGACTAGAGTGAGAGCCCAGCACCATGGGAAGGGATATCGGGGAAAGCCTTCCAGGAAAAGGGCAGAGCATAAGCAAGGGCCCTGACGTGACGCTTGCTTGCCTCGGTTAGAGAAACAGCGTGGCTGACGTGAGAGGAGAGTGGCAGGAGAAACGCTGACCGTTGTCAAACACTCTGAGGTGGAAACTGCTGGAGTGATAGAGTTTGGAATCTGGTTTTCTCTTTTTCCTCTTTTCCATTAATATTGATGAAAAGTTTGCTTTATTTTTGAGTGAAACAAAATTATTTCACCTGCTTTTGGAGTATGCTACTTTTTTCAAAATCATACCAAATTAATTTGTATAGAATAGGAAAATACCTTAATTTTAAAAGGAAACTTTATATACCCATGATTAATTGACAGTCTGTTGGTATTGACAACCTGTTTAAGTCCCTTTATCCTTCCATGTATAATTGTCCTAAATATGTCCTCTATATACACTGAAAATCATGTGTGTTTGATTTTTGTTTCAACCATTAAACAACTTAAGAATCTCAAGAGGAGAGGCAAAATCCATTGTATTTACTTTTCCATTGTTCTTTCTTCCTTTCTGATATCCCATGATTCTTTTTATCATTTCCTTTCTGTTTTAAAACATATTTTAGGAATTTTCTTATATAGGTCTACTGGTGATAAATCTGAGAATGACTTGATTTTCCCTTTATTTCTGAAGGGTAATTTTCCTATATATAGAATTCCATGTTGATGGTTCTTTTCAGCACTTGATAAATGTGCTGCTGCCTTTTGGGCTTCATGGTTTCTGGTGAGAAAGCTGCTATCATTTTTATTTTTTTACATTTTTATTAATTTCAGAGAGGAAGGGGGAGAGAGAGAGAGAAACAATGAGAGAATCATCGATCAGTTGCCTTTTGCAAGTCCCACACTAGGATCGAGCCCGCAACCTGGTCATGTGCCTTGACCGAGAATTGAACCATGACCTTATGGTTCATAGGTTGATGCTTAATCAGTGAGCCACGCTGAGCATTAAAATATATAATATATTTTTATTGATTTCAGAGAGGAAGGGAGAGAGAAACATAAATGATGACAGAAAATCATTAATTGGCTGCCTCCTGCACACTCTCTACTGGAGGGGATCAAGCCCACATGAACCTGGTACCCTTTAGTCTGCAGGCCAATCCTCTATCCGCTGACTCAAACCTGCTAGGGCACTGCTGTCATTTTTAAAAATAAGCTTTTATTGATTTCAGAGAAAGGAAGGGAGAGAGATAGAAACATCAATGATGAGAGAATCATCGATTGGCTACCTCCTTCATGCCTCCTCCTGGGGACTGAGCCCACAACCCGGGCATGTGTCCTGATCAGGAATTGAACCATGACCTCCTAGTTCAATTCACTAAGCAACACTGGCCAACAAGCTACTGTCATTTGAATTATTTCTCCCTGATAGTTAAGGGGTTGTTTTTCTCTCTTTATGTTTTCAAGATTTTTATTTTTTGTCTTTAGTTTGCAGTGTTTTGATTATGATGTGTCTTGATGTGAATATCTTCACTTTATTTCATTTGGGGTTTAATCAGCTTCTTGGATCTTTTGCCAAATTTGATAAATATTCACCCATTATTGCTTTTGAGTACTTTTTTCACAAAGTACTTTCACAAAAAAGCACTCCACACTTTCTCCTCTCCTGTGGAACTCTGATGGCACAAATGCTAGGTCTTTTGTTATTGTGCCACAGGTCCCACAGGCTCTGTCTATAGTCATGGATCTCTGGAGTGCTCCTCATTTTGTTTTATTTTTTTCCCTCATTGTTCAGATTGGGTAATTTAAATTGTCACTGATTCTTTTCCTGTTATAGCTATTCTGCTGTTGAGCCCATCCAATGAGTTTTTAATTTTAGTTATATTTACTGAGATTTTCATTTCTTTTCTAAGTGTGTTAATAATTGCTTATCAAAGGCATTATCAAAGGTTTAGTAGCTATAACAACATAAATCGAGGAGTTCTGTCATTCAGGTCTCACTGAGGTAAGGTCAAGGTGGCAGTAGAGCTGCATTTTTTAAAAAAATATGTATTTTACTGATTTTTTACAGAGTGGAAGGGAGGAGTACAGAGTGGAAGGGAGGAGGATAGAGTTAGAAACATCTATCAGCTCCCTCCTGCACCTCCCTCCCCAAACTGGGGATGTGCCCGCAATCAAGATACATGCCTTTGATTGGAATTGAACCTGGGACCCTTCATTCCACAGGCTGAGGCTCCATCCACTGAGCCGAACCAGTTAGGGCCGAGCTGCATTTTTTTTTAATAAATTTTATTCTTTTAGGGTTTTATTTTATTTTATATCCTCCAGTGAGAATGTCCTTGTCTTTTTTACCATCTAGAGGCTGCCTGCATTCCTCCTCCTTCATAGCGTCTCTCTGAGCCCCATTCTCACATCTTTTTCTGACTGCTTCTGCCTCCCTCTTTCACTTTCTACATTGGGCCCTTCCAGATAATCCTGGGTAATTTTCTTATCTGCTAATTAGCAACCTTAATTCTACCTGCAATCTTAATTCCCCCTTAGCCTGCAACACTACATACACCTAGGTTGTGGGGATTAGGACAGGGACAGTTTTGGAGGGGCCATTAAACACCTTTTTCTGGTGTTGCTGTCTACTTATTGCCTTTTCTCATCCAAATTGTCATTTTCTTTGTGTAACAAGTGATTTTTTTTATTGTGTCCTGAACATTTTGGGTATAGTGTAATTCGACTCTGGATCTTCTTTAAGTCTTCTATTTTAGCAGGCCTCCTCTGATACTGAGCCAATGTTGTGGGGGGAGGGAGGCTGTGACCTCATTACTGTCAGATTCGGAGGGAACTCAGTTACCCCACTTGGCCTCCACTAGTACCACTGGCTGGGAAGGGCAGGGGCACCTCCTTATTATTCCCATATGGCTCCACTTCACTTCCAGTGCCGCCAGAGGGAGGGGCTCTTTAGCACCAGGAAAGGGTGAAGCCCCACTTCTCTGACTGCCCTGCTAAGGGGTGTCCTGTCAGTCAGTCAGGGAAGTCTAGGCTCTCCACTTGGCTTATAACATTGACACTCCCGGGAGCAGGCATTTCATTAAGTATTGCTCTCATCACCCTCAATTTCTTCCTGGTTTCTGCTATAGGAGCAAATCCAGCCACAGACCTGAGAGGAGCAGGCTTCCTTGCCCTCCTGCATCTGCTGTACCTGGTGATGGACTCAAAGACCTTGCTGATGGCCCAGGAGATTTTCCGCCTGTCTCATCACCACATCCAGGTGGGGCTCTGGTGGGAAGCCAGCAGAGAGGGCTGTGGAGCTAGGACCTGGGCTCAGGGCTCTTTGAGCAGCCAGGTGGGCCTCCCAGGTAAATCTTTCTCATTGCTGAGGGCTCTTAGGACAACTGGGAGAAACCAGGATTGGTCTTCCCCTGACAGTGCTGGAGTCTGAGCTCTAGCACTCATTAGCATGAGTGTCAAGCACTGCCTCAATTCCCCAGGGCCTCAATTTCCTCATCTGTAGAATGGAAATCATGGAGACTCCAGCTGGGTAGTTGGAAAACTTAAAGGAGATAATGTACAAAAGCACTAGGCAACTCACCACCCCCCTGGGAAATCCCTGAGTCTGAAGGAAAAGAGTCTGCTTTGAATGCCCAGAGAAGGTTTGCCTCTGGGTCAGGAGTTACTGACGGGCCGGAAGTGGCTTTTGTAGCCCTGTCTTCTCCCTGGGGTTGGGTTTGATGGTTTTCCCAGTTAGCAAAAGGTGGTAGGTATTCCTTCCATTTTATTTTATTTTATTTTATTATTTTTTTAATATATTTTAATTGATTTTTTTATAGAGAAGAAGGGAGAGGGATAGAGAGTAAGAAACATCGATGAGAAACATTCATCAGCTGCCTCCTGCACACCTCCCACTGGGGGTGTGCCCGCAACCAACGTACATGCCCTTGACCAGAATAGAACCTAGGACTCCTCAGTCTGCAGGCTGACGCTCTATCCACTGAGCCAAACCAGCTAGAGCTATTCCTTCCATTTTAGAAATGAATTTTATCTGTTCTGCCATGTATCCCCCAGATTTGTGGGACCTGGAACTCATTCACTAAACAAATATTTATTCAGCACCTCCTGTGCTAGTTATTTTTCTTGATCTTGAGATACATCAATGAGCAAAACAATTCCAGCAGAGAAGACAAGTAAGCATTATACACACACTAATGATGGGAATGTTAGAAAGTGATGCATGTGCTAAGGAAAAAGCACAGGTGGGCTAAGGTTTGGAGAATGTGGGGAGGGGTTACAGTATTTTATGGATGGCCAAAGTATCTCCCATGAGAGGCAAGACTTAAACCAAGCCTGGAAGGGGTGAGGGGGTTAGCCAAGCTGGTTTCTGGGGGAAGAGCATTCTACACAGAGGGAGCAGGTGCAGCACAAGTCCTGAGGAGAGAGTGTCTGGCATGTGAAGAATAGCAGGGAAGCTGGCTGGAGCGGAAGGAGGAAGGGAAGGAAGGAGAAAAGGAGGTCAGAGGTTAATAGGGACCGGATGGCGCAGTGCCTGGTAGGTACGATAAGGGCTTTTGATTTTGCTCTGAGTGAAATGAGGGTTTTCAGCAGCTTGGAATACATGATCCAACTGGAAAGGTTTAAATGGATCCCACAGCTGCCTAGTGGAGGATAGTCTAGAGCAGCAATTTTTAACTGACATGCCGCAAGAATTTTTAAAACATATCATACCTATTTAGTCAGGGTTTTTATTGGGGGGTGGCTGTGCAGGCCCCATCTGTAGCACACACCAGAATTCCAGAGTCACAGAGGGAAAACGGGTGTTTAACGTAAACCATATTATTTTCACAGAGTTTACACAGTCATCCTGAGGGACTGGCAGGCATCTCTCACAACCCAAGTGCCCAGATGCCAGCCAAGGGCTAACCTTATATGCAGGCCTTTCTAAGGATAGCAGTCTCAGGCCGCTGCGTTAACTCAAAGTGCATTCCCCCTTCCCCCAATGTATTTTATTGATTTTTTATAGAGAGGAAAGGAGAGAGATAGAGAGCTAGAAACGTTGATGAGAGAGAAACATCGACCAGCTGCTTCTTGCACACCTCCTACCGGGGATGTGCCCGCAAACCAATGTACATGCCCTTGACCGGAATTGAACCTGGGACCTTTCAGTCCGCAGACCGATGCTCTACCACTGAGCCAAACCAGTTTCGGCTGCATTTCCCTTTTTACTTTGAGAGATAGGAAAGCTATCTCAACGTTTGGGCAGCTTTAAAAGGACACACAGCTAGCAGGTGGCCAGGCCAAGATCTGGAACCCAGGCGTCACGGGAGACCCTGAGAAAAGCTGGGAGGGGCCAGGAAACCACTGACAGGTCAGGCGGTAATGTCCACCAAAACCTGCACTGTCCACCACAGCAGCCGAGCACGTGTCGCTGAAGCACTTGAAGTCATGCTAGGATGAGCTAAAGAAGTGTAGCATTTTACATTTTATTTAATTTAAATTTATATTTTAAAAGGTGCATGTGGTTAGTTGCTATCATACTGGACAGCACAGTATATCATAATGTAGTGAGTCTCCTTCTTGGGGAAGTAGACGGAATAGACTGGGACTCTTGGTCTGTCCTCAGTGGATGCCCTTGTGTACATTCAACAATGAAAACTAACGTGACATTTGTAAATCCCCTCCAAAACGTTTGTCATTTGCTTTCACGTGTGTGTGTGTGTGTGTGTGTGTGTGTGTGTGTGTGTGTGTGTATGTGTGTGTATGTGTGTTTTGGTTATTAAATAGGAAGGAATTTGCTCCTCTAAAAATAAAGCTTTGAGCCGGGACCGGTTTGGCTCAATGGATAGAGCGTCGGCTTGGGGATTGAAGGATCCCGGGTTCGATTCCGGTCAAGGGCATGTACCTTGGTTGCGGGCATATCCCCAGTAGGGTGTGTGCAAGAGGCAGCTGATCGATGACTCTCTCTCATTGATGTTTCTAACTCTCTATCTCTCTCCCTTCTTCTCTGTACAAAAATCAATAAAAAATATATTTAAAAATAAAAAATAAATAAAAATAAATAAAAAAAAATAAAAATAAAGTTTTGAGGCGGACCCTGCAGGGCATCCTGAGGCCCACCCTGGTGAGTGCTGGTGGGACTCCATGCTGCCTCTCGGGAGTGCTCAGGCCTCTGCTCCTGAGAGATGGGGTGTCCAGCAAGTCAAGGCTGACTTTCTATGTACTTGCACCTTCTCTGTCTGATTTTGGAGGAAGCTCTATGAGCAAATAACCAGAAGCCTACGGAAGGGAAGGAGAGACTTTAAGAACCTATATAGTTAGTTAGGTACCTGGGCCTCACTCTCATGTTCATCCTAACCCCAGGGGGTGATGGGTAGGTGTAGTGAAGGCCAACAAGGGCTCATGGGTTAGGATGATGAAGAAGCCGGAGAACTCTCCCAGGGGCTATGCAAACCAGCTTTGGAGTGCATTAACCCAGTTGGAATCCTGGTTCCGCTGCCTTAAGAAAGGTATTTCACCAAAGCTTCCGTATCCTCATCTGTGAGATGGGAAGATCATTGTGAAAATTAAGTGGAAGCATCCGTAACATCGCCGCTGCCTCTGGGCCAGGCTGGCTGTGGAAGAGGGAAACCCAGAAGGCGAGACCTGGGTTGGCACTGACCTGCCATTTCCATTCCAGCAATTCCCCTTCTGTTTGATGTCTGTGAACATCACCCGCATCGCAATCCAGGCCTTAAGAGAGGAGTGTCTCTCCAGGTGAGTCCTCCCACTGCTCATTCCCCCCGCCCCCGTGACCCCACCAGCTGATTAGGACCCAGCAAAACCTGGTTCCCTCCCTCCTGCCTCATTCTCCCCAGCTTCCTTCCTCACCTGCTGGCTTCTGGGGGCAGTAGGCAACGTCCATGTGCACCGGACCCATCTGCCAGCCCATCTCACCCTGAGCTCAGATGTGAAGGCTGCCTGGGGAAGGGCTCTCGGGAGGGCAGTGGGGAAAGGCACCCAGGTGCCAGCCTTTGTCCACCACCGCCCTTCCTGCAGGGAGTGCAATCGGCAGCAGAAGGTGATCCCAGTGGTGAACAGCTTCTATGCTGCCACTTTCCTCCACCTCGCCCACATCTGGAAGACGCAGCAGAAGACCATCGCCGATTCAGGCTTTGTCCTCAAAGGTGTGCTTTCTGGGGAGGCCTCGCTATTCCAGGGCGACCCAGGGTGGTGACCAGACTGGGTTTGGCTGCAGTTCCCTTCCAGCCCACCCTCTGGAGCCTTCTAGCTCTCCCTTGTCTGCCCCGCCTCCTCCCTTTCTGCCCTTATACCTGTGGTGATATTTTCTGAATCAAAAGCTGGGTCCAACAGTGGACTGACTATTCAAAGTTGCAGCTGTCCTGGGCAAGGTAGAGTGTGTGGTCCCTGTGGATCCTGTGGTCCCTTGATCTCCCTCCACGGTGAGCTCCCCATCTTAGAGATCTCTTTCACCTCTCCCCATGGGACCCGGGCTGGGGTACTCCTAGAGCCCTGGACTGTGCATCCAAAGCCCCCTGAAGCCTGTTGTTCCCAATGCTCTCTGTTCCAGACTTGGAAGTGCTGGCCAAGAAGAGCCCACGGCGGCTGCTCAAGACCCTGGAGCTCTACTTGGCTGGAGTATCGAAGGGACAGACCTCCTTGCTGGGAGCACAGAAGTGCTGTGGGGCACCAGCCCCTCACTCCAAGGACCTCACTTTCACAGGCGTGTGTGACCTGCCACCACACTCATCCGAAGGCACGTGGCCGGCCTGACCGCCGAGGCAAACCATGTCAGGGACCCCTGGCTGGACCACACCCCTTCCCATCTCAGCAGAAGGGACGTGGGAGCTCCCAGGCCTGGTTGGGGGAGCCAAGGACCTCCTCCTCATGAGACACAGGGGCAGTCAGACTTGACGCACCCCCTACAGATGTGCCTCCTTTGCTGTCATCTGAGTTGGGCTCCAGGTCTCGGTGAGTGAATGGATTGTGAGGTGGGAGAGCCCCATCGGGATGTTCCACACGCCCCCAGGTGGGGCTTTGAGACCCCTGGTGGCCCAGACAGAGACATAGACTGGTTAGAATATGAAGGGAGGTGGCAGTGGCAGCAGCCAACAGGGGGCAGCATGAACCAGAGCAAGACGCCTGAGGCCACAGCTGGGCCCGCCTTCCTCTCCTCCATCCCCCAGGCCAGTATAAGAACCCCTGGGGGCTTCTGGCCTTGCATTTGCCCCATCTCCTCTCCTCCCTGGGGTTCATGGTGCAGAACAGGGTCTTTGGCCGAGTCTCCATTGCTGCCCATCCTCACTGCCTGCCGGCTGGGCTTCCCCAGGAGGCTGTGCGGCGCCCATCTCAGGCGGTTTTGTAGCCTGGTTGGGAAAAGGAGATCAGCAGTTACTGAATAAAAAAAATTGTTCTGGGATAAGGTTTCCACGTGTTTTCTCCAATATAAGCCTTATTTATGCCTTCCCCAATCCCTGCGAGAGCCAGGCCCTCCACGGGGGAAGGCCCTGGTCAGGGCTCCCGGAGAGGGTGCTGTGCCCTCACCAAACCACTGAGTGCACTTGCAGGTCCAGAGACCCTTACACTCCAACAAGTGGGCGAGGTGAAATGGCTTGTGTCAAGATTGGCTGGTGTGCCGTGGCCAGTTGGGTTCACTGTATAGAGCATTGGCCAATGGACTGAAGGGTCCGAGTTCGATTCCGGTCAAGGGCAGGTATCTGGGTTGCAGGCTGAATCCCCAGCCTGATTGGGTACGTGTAGGAGGCAACCAATTGATGTTTCTCTCACATCAATGTTTCTCTGTCTCTCCCCCTCCCACTCTCTCTAAAAATCAGTGGAAAAAATTCCTTAGGTGAGAACTAAAAAAAAAAAAAGGACTGGTATGAAGTGCCCACACTGTTTTTTTCCTGCACAATTTGTTTCTGGGGAAGCTGGCTGTACCTTCACTCACCAAACAGCCTCCAGGCCAGGGTACCTCGCTACACTGCTCTCCTGTCCTCTACCCTCCCTCAGGTAGAGCGTGGAAGACCCTGTCCAGCCCCTGCAGGCCTCTCCAAGGCTGACCCTCTGGAGGTGGGGGCATCACAGGGGTGGGGCTGATACATGGCCCCGCCAAGGGGGAAGGGACTTGTCAGTCAGCAGGATGCCTGGTGGGGCTGGCAACGGGCCCTGCAGTGTGCCGTGTCCTCTTTGCTCGGCCTGAACTAATCCGTCCTCCAGTCGGGGCTTAGCTGACCAGCAGAGATGCAGGGAGATTGGTGGGTTGGAGTGCAGAAAGGCCGCAGCCCAGCCTCCACTTCGGTGTCAGGTTCAGTGCTTCCTTCCTGCAGATTCCTTCCACCTGCTCTGAGACCAGCTTCTCAGCAGACCTGACACTCAGCCCGAGCACTGCCAGGGCCAGGCAAGTGGGCCTGTCGCTGGAGGGGAGGCCAGCGGCCTCGCAGGTGCCCTCTTCCCATCCCCTCCCTGTCCAACGCTCTGCTCTCCAGACAGCAGACCGCTCACAGCTTCACAGCAGTAACAGTCCAGGGATCGAGTTCTGTTGAGGACTTTTGGGTGAGCAGTGGAGGGGGAAGGGCGTTAGTCTCTAAAAACTCTGAAGACATTGCAAAGCCCTGACCAGTCTGGCTCAGTGGAGAGTGTTGGCCTGCAGATGGAAGGGTCCCAGGTTCGCTTCTGGTCAAGGGCATGTACCTCAGTTTCAGACTCCTCCCTGGCCCGGGCTTGTGCAGGGGGCAACCAATCAATGTGTTTCTCTCACATTGATATTTTTCTCTGTCCTTCCCTCTCTCTTTCACTCTAAAATAGAATCAATAAAAAAATATTCTTGGGTGAAGATTAAAAATAAATAAAAACTTTAAAAAATGAAAAAGTAGATGCAAAAATCTTAATGTGTATTTTTGGGTAGGAAAAGGCCTGCCTAGGCCTTTCATGGGAGACTTAAACTCCTTTTAAAAATCATCCATGAAGCTTCCAGTCAAGATAACCAAGTCATGCTCTTTAAAAAACTTTCCCCTGGCCGAAACCGGTTTGGCTCAGTGGTAGAGCATCGGTCTCTGGACTGAAGGGTCCCAGATTTGATTCCGGTCAAGGGCATGTACATTGGTTGTGGGCACATCCCCAGTAGGGGGTGTACAGGAGGCAGCTGGTCGATGTTTCTCTCTCATTGACATTTCTAGCTCTCTATCTCTCTCTCCCTTCCTCCTCTCTGTAAAATATCAATAAAAAATTTTTTTAAAAATTTCCCCTGGTCCATGCTCTGTGTAGGCTGTCAGGTGAAGGACTGCGCAGAGAAAGGTGGCTATCCAAGAAACCGGTTTTTTATGCCTCTTGGAACAAAATCAACAAGATGAACTTGATTAGAACTTCTCTTTAGAATGGAAAGAGCAAGCATGTCAGCTCAGAAGCCACATAGCCCCAAGGGCCCAGGGGTGAGCTGGGTCAGCACAGACAGGCCTGCCAGGCCTCACACTCTAGTCTAGACACACAGCCTGCCTGTCGTCCCCCTGGATCCTGCGCTCAGGATGGGACTGCTTTGGGGCAACGCCATTCTCCCTTATTTAGCTATCTAGCCTCTGATGTTCCAGCCACCACCTGTTACACAAGAGCATGAACTCAGGGGCCCTAGTAATACATGACAATGTGCCGTGAAGTGACTCTGCACAGGAGGGAGAGTAGTGCTGTTGCCTGGCGAGCATGCGTCACTTGGAAGCAGCGGTTTATTAGGGCAGCTGAGGAAATGCTGGCTCGGACGGAGAGACAGCCCCTGCTGGCTGCCACAACCTTCTCCCGGTTGGGAACGTGAGACCGATCTGAAGCCTCTGGCTGCAAGTGATCCTGAGCCTGGCGCGGTGCCACCTCCCTATTGGGTTCACAGCAGTACCAGCCAGGCCCACCGGGACTCCCGGCCCCTCTGCCTTAATCCTGCAGAGCCAGCGCTGGCCCCTGGGAGGGGAGAGATTGTCCCCTGGGCCCCACGCCCCCCAGCATGGGAATGAGCCCAGGTGAGCAGGTGGGGCGGGGAGAGTGAGCCCGGGCAGCAGTGCAGGCGGAGAGCGGGGGAAGCACTGGTCTCCTTTATTGAACATCTCACGGGGGCACCTCGGCACTGACCAGGCAGCAGGCGGAAGAGCAAGCAGGCGGGGGGTGTGCACAGCGAGACGCCCCCTCACTTCCAGTTCTTGAAGAATTGCTTGAAGATGAGACTCTCCCGGCCCTGGGGCAGGATCTCCACCTGCAGGGACAGCAGGGGGAGACTTGCTCACAAGAATGCCCTCTCTGCCTCCACCAGGGCAGAGCGGGGCCAGGGAGGGCGGGGCTGGGCACCAGGCCTCGGTGCACTTGCTGTCCAGGCCGAGGATGCTCCTCCAAGAGCTGAGAAAGATCATAGGCCACGGCCGAGGAAACGGACTGCTCCCAGGACATAGGCAAACAGTTTGCATGATGCACCAATTACAGATGAGCCTTATCAGCTCCCCTCAAAACCGTTCGTGAGGTCACCAAGCTGGGGTGGTACCAGCTTGGGACAGTGGCCTAGAAGTACACAAGTTGCCCAACATCCTCTTGGAAAATAACATTTACGTTTTTCAAGGATTGAGGAGGGCTTCCCCGCTGGGTGGGTCTGGCAGGGAGGCCGGGCTGGCCCTCCCTGCCCCAGGCTTTCCTGCCCTCCTTGTCCGGTCTGAGCGGCAGCAGGTCAGGGAGGTGTCCCAGAGGAGGGTCGGGGCCCGGGTGTTGCCTCACCTGCGTGTTGGGGGCGTACCGCATGCGGGAGATGAAGTCCTCGGCTACTCGGAGGGCCGCCTGCCGCTCCTTCTCGTTGGCTTTTCGCCCTGGGCCACAGGAAGGAGATTTTTCAGAAGGTCAGGAACCCTTGCTAGCCCACATGCCATTTTTTTGTTTTGTTTTGTTTGAGGAAATTTCAGGGGGTTCCCAGAATCGCCGGTAACTTTTATTTTTTTATTTTTTTAAATATATTTTATTGATTTTTTACAGAGAGGAAGGGAGAGAGATAGAGAGCTAGAAACATCGATGAGAGAGAAACATCAACCAGCTGCCTCTTGCACACCCCCCTACCGGGGATGTGCCCGCAACCAAGGTACATGCCCTTGACCGGAATCGAACCTGGGACCCTTCAGTCCGCAGACCAACACTCTACCGCTGAGCCAAACTGGTTTCGGCTCGCCGGTAACTTAAAGTAAGTGGCTCAGGAGGTGAGAGGATTGCTGAGCTCTCTGGAGGTTTGAAGCCAGCCCCTTGAGGCTTCTCCCAGCCTGGCAGCTGAGCCAGATGACAAGTGTCCTTCTCCCCACTCATCCACTCTCCATCACACCCGGGACATTCGTGGCGTTAAAGCCATGGCCCCACCCCAGGTCCCCGGCCTCCTGGGCCTGCCATGTTCTGTTACCAAGCCTTCACCGTACAGCCGACCAGGGCAAAGGGTGTGACTGACTACAGTCTCACTCCCATAATGCCAGATGACCCACACAGGTCTAAGAGTGATGACAACTACGAGCACAAGAAGGAAGACCCAGAGCCACCCGTTCTCTCCTGGAGGCAGTCCCTTAGCACAAATGGGCTCCAGCTTAAGGCATTTCCCACGACAACAATATTGTCCAGTGTGGCTGGCTCTCCAGGGCTAAAGACAAGCAGACCCAAATGGAACCCCATGTGGTAAACCCCATGAGACTTGGTGCGTCGCCTCACTGCAGGGTCCGCCTCTCCCAGGAGAGCACTAGTGAGGCGTCTGCCGGATGCGACCCCCGCCCCCTAAGCGAAGGCGCCCTGGCCCGGGATAATCCGCTCTCCTCACTGTCCCCCCAGAGAAGCCTTCCGTTTGCACAGCGTTCCATTTACTAGACAGGATGCAGCCTGATTCACGTCTTACGTCGACTGCGTTGACTTTCCTCCATTAACACTGTATCTGCAGAACCAGCTCAAGCGGCCTTACCCTCTTTCTAATGATACTGGGGTCAACAAAACAAAATCGCTAAGTCATGCAGCCGAGGCAGGCACAGGAGAGGATTTTGAGCTGCAATAACACCCAGAACCAACGTTTCACCCCCACCTCATGGAACCAGAAAGCTGAGACTTGGCTGGAACGTGATCATGAGTCCTTTCAGAATCTAGAACGACCCAGAGTGAAGCCCTCCGACTGAAACCTGCCCGGCCAGCGCTCCCCACGCCACCCCCTTCCCTTACGCTACCCCCAAACCTCGCTCTGGGAGGCGATGTGAGGCTTGCTTCCTAGCTCCTTGCTGGTTGTCTTCCCAATAAATCTTTTTTCTTTTCTCAAAAGCCAGTGCTGCCCTGGCTGGTGTGGCTCAGTTGGTTGAGCATGCACTGAAAAGTCACGGGTTTGATTCCCAGTCAGAGCACAAACCGGTTTGTGGTTCAATCCCAGGCTGGGGTGTATACAGGAGGCAACCAATCTGATAAATGTTTCTCTCACATCGCTATTTCACGCTCTCCCTTTCCCTCTCTCTCAAATCAATAAAAATCATATATAGCCCTAGCGGGTTTGGCTCAGTGGATAGACTGTTGGCCTGCGGACTCAAGGGTCCCAGGTTCGATTCCGGTTAAGGGCATGTACCTTGGTTGCCGGCACATTCCCAGTAGGAGGTGTGCAGGATGTTTCTCTCTCATCGATGTTTCTCTCTCATGTTTCTCTCTCATCAATGTTTCTATCCCTCTCTCTTCCTCTCTGTAAAAAATCAATAAAACATATTTTTTAAATTAAAAAATCATATATATATATATATATATATATAGATATAGATATAGATATAGATATAGATATAAAATTTAAAAGCCAGTGCCATAGTCCTGGCTTTAGTGCCCCTGCTTGGTAACACCACCAGCTACCAGCCACTATCCAGTCAGCTACAAATTATCTAACTTACTGTGGTGTGTCCTTCTGTGATGTGACCAGCTACCCTGATATCTTCCTGGCTGGCAAGTTTGCTTTTTCTTCTCTGGTTTATCTTCCCTAAATTGTCTGGTTCTTTGCTCCGGATTAATTACACTCCCACGGAGGTCTGCACACCAGCCTGCCCCCCCATGCTTGGAATTGGTTCCATAGGAAAGAACCAATTGGTTCCATAGGTAGGAGGGAAAAGGCAGCCCCTACACACACACACACACACACACACACACACACACACACACACGCTTTCACTCTTAGAAACCTGCCAGGCCGCTTGCTGCTCCCGCCCTTCCCTGAAGCCACAGCATTACTGCCAGCAGCAGCCACACCTCGAACACCCAGTCCCTCTCTGTCTTCCCGGCCAGGCTGGAACTGCGCGTGTCTCTTGGCCTTGGCTGACCCTGGGTTGAGCAAATAGACCATCAACACACTAGAAATTATCCGGTTTCTGTTTTCAAGCCGTTTATAACCTGGCCGGGGAGGCGAGGCGCGCTCAGGAACAGACAGGCGCGGAGGAGACGCGGAGCTGCCGGTCTGTATCGCTCAGACACTCAGCTCCATCCCAGCACCCCAGAGTCAGTCCGAGGAACAGGCCTCTGCACCCCAGTGCCGCTAAGTCCAACCAAACAGTCTCTTGGGAAAACAAGTTCTCCCACTTCACTGCCCACTGCATCGAGTGAGTCAGTTTACCTAAAATGCCTGCCACTCCCGGGAGCTTCCCGGGCTCCCCCCATACCGGCCCCCTCTTAGTGACTAGTGTGTCTAGTGAATCAGAATGGGGGGTGGGGGGTCCAGCCATCTGTTTTCACAGGCCCTCAGCCCTCCGGCCATCCTGGGGGATGCTCACGTTTTAGGCTTCGGGGGTGGGAACAGAACAGAGAACCCCAAGCCTGAGGCAGGCCCGGGGTACGGGGCCAGGAGGCTCTTTGGAAGCAGGCGGCCGGCGGGCCCTCCAGAGGGAAGCCTGCAGCCTCCGTTGGACGTACCCTTCCAGATGTAGATCTTGCCGCAGAGCCCGTTGTCCAGCACAAAGCAGTCATCAGGGATCAGCGACTCGACGGCGAAGGGGCTGGAGTCGGCCACCTTGGTGAGGTGCATCTGTCCAGTGGCGTCAGAGACCTTGGGGAGGACGTGCCAGGTTAGTGTCAACCCAGCCCCGCTCCCACGGGGCCCGAGCTGAGGCCCCCAAGGAGCTGCCGGGCCCACACACGGCACACCTTCCACAGGACAGGGCGACCTTAGGCTGCCACACGGCACGTCCCAAAGAGCCCTCGACAAAGGTCACAACAAAGCAGGTATGATGAGGGCTGGACGGGTGACTGCAAAGACTGAAAATTAAAACGCTCCGCCAAAACCGCTGTGGCTCAGTGGATAGAGTGTCGGCCTCCGGACTGAAGGGTCCCAGGTTCGATTCCGGTCAGGGGCAGGTGCCTTGGTTGCGGGCATATCCCCAGTGGGGGGTGTGCAGGAGGCAGCTGATCGATGACTCTCTCTCATTGATGTTTCTAACTCTCTATCTCTCTCCCTCTCTGTACAAAAATCAATAAAATATATTTAAAAAAAAAGAAGAAATTAAAACATTCAGAATAACCATCACTGACACCTGTTCCAACAGAAATGTCTCCTAGTAGGAACCCTATTTGGGCTTCTGCCTGCATCCGTGTATCCCAAATAGTTATTCTTTTTATCTCAAAAAAAAAAAAAAAATGCTTGTCACCTCTCAGTTTGAAAGGCTATTTTTAGACTAAAAGAGCCCCGTGCTGGATCACCCTCCCCGCAACACACAGTCCTAACCTCCGTCCGGGGTCCGGGGTCCAGGGAGGAAGCTGCCTCCCTGCACCACAGCCCCTCCCACGGCCCAGGCCAGGGACAGGGAGGCGGCTCTGCCTGGCAAATCCAGGCAGCCCCAGCCCCCATCACCCTCACCGCTGCAGCCCAGGGGCCCCAAATCCATTTGGAAATGAAGTGGATGCCACGTGACAAATAAATGCAAAGATTCAAAAAGCAAAGCTCAGCATCGTCAGATGTCCTTCTCCGAGAAGGGGCTGGTAGTGGAGCAGCGTTTATCTCCTCAGGAGGGCCCCCTATCCACCTCCCATCCCCCGCTCACTCCAGCCCTCTAAATGGCCCCGCTGCCGGGACCAGACCTCCCCCTGCGCCCTCCTCTCCCTCAGCCCCCCCCCCCCCCCCGCACCCACCGCTGCCTGGTCCCTGGGCAGGCCCCGCGCGCCCACCTTATACAGAGCCGCGGCGTGGGCGTTAGTCTGGTCGGCCGTGAGGTCTTCCTCGGGGTTGCCCTCCTTCAGAGCAGGCTTGGGGCCCAGGACCTGCAGGAGTCAGGGAAGACTGGGTTCGCAGGGATCCCTGGCCCCTGGCCCCGACCTCCCCAACCCGTTACGCCCAGGGCCACGGCCTCAGTGGGGCACACTGTCCTGCACAAGGCACCCAGCACAGCTGAGGGCTGGGTCCAGGCCACCCCACCTGCCAGGCCACTGGTCCTTCTGCCCACAGGGGTGCTTTACGCTGAACCACACCAAGCACCCTGAGAACTAGCCACGAGCAGCAGCCACGACGCCCCCGCTCAGTCCTCACTGACCGCCCTCCTGCCCCCAGCCCGTCACAGCTCCCTCCTGCCCCCCCAGCCCGTCACAGCTCCCCTCCTGCCCCAGCCCATCACAGCTTGTCTCCCGGCTTCCCAGCAGAGGCCTCCCATCCCATGTGCCCTCCACCTGGACCATCTCGGCAGGCTCCTCCCCGTCGGCGACGATCTCCACCTGGGCCTTGCCCTGCCGCTCGCTGTCCCTGATGGCCAGGGCCAGGTCCCGCGCCTTGTTGCGCTCCAGGATGTTGGATTTGCCACCGCACCAGACGAAGATGTTCTGTCGGGAGGGGGAGGCCGGGTGAAGAAGGCTTCTCTGAGCCCGGCAATGACAACACCTGCAAGTGTTTCTCTGCCCAGCCACACACTCCCCCCCTCCCCCCGTCTCCCTCCTGCTTTATTTTTCTCCAGATCACTGATCAGCATGTATTTCCACATCTCTGTCTTGTGTATAATCTATCTCCCATGAATAGAAAGTAAGCTTCCTTAGGACATGAGTGTTTCATTTCGTTTTGTTTTGCTTTGTTCATTGCTGTATGCCCAGTGCTAAAACAGAGACTGACACACATTTAGGCACAAAATGAATGAATGAATGAATGAATGGGTGAATGCCATCCTTGAGCATCCTACCTGCACCCCTACCAGGCACAGCCCTCATCCCCTCTCTCAAGCTGGTCCTCCCACCTCCCTCTCATTGCTTCTAGTCCTCCTTCCATTTCTGCCCACAATCTTTGGCACCACAAGATGGGGTCCAGCCCTGGCCAGGGTGGTTCAGTTGGCTGGGCATCGTCCCATGTGCAGAAAGGTTGCTGGTTCGATTCCCAATCAGGGCATGTGCCCAGGTTGTGGGCTTAATCCCTGATAGGAGGCGTGCAGGAGGCAGCCGATTGATGTTACCATTTCACATGGATGTTTCTCTCTCCTTTTTCTCTCTAAAAAAATCAATAAACTACTTAACAACAAACAAGAAAATGTGATCTAGACTCTTCCAACCATAGTCAGACTCCTCATGACCTGGGTCTCACCCTCCTTAGTAATTTTGATGCCATGGCTCCTGTCCCCACCCTGTCCCTCCTGTGGGCAGGCATGTCTGCACCTCCCCTGCCTCAGTGCTCAGCTCACCTGTCCCTTCACCGGGAACGGCACTTCCCCTCCATGAAGCACCTTCCTGGTCAATGGCTTTGGCTCAGGTGTAAGCTCCCCCAGCCCGGTCACTGCCTCTCAGCACACCCTGCCATAGATCACTGCAGTGACAGGCTGCCTCAGGGCTGCCTCCCCAGGGCAAGCAGTTAGTGGGGCCCCGGCTGGGCCATCACACTCACTGAGTGAAAGGATGAGTGAGGAAGTGAATGGATGGTCTGACAGCAGCTAACTCAGAGGCACAGGAGCTCTGGATCAGTGGTCGGCAAAACCACGGCTCACAAGCCACATGTGGCTCTTTGGCCCCTTGAGTGTGGCTCTTCCACAAAATACCACGGCCTGGGCGAGTCTATTTTGAAGCAGTGGCATTAGAAGAAGTTTAAGTTTAAAAAATGGGGCTCTCAAATGAAATTTCAATCGTTGAAGATTGATGTTTGGCTCTGCGGACGAATGAGTTTGCCGCCACTGCCCTAGGAGGAGGGGGGCCAGCTCCGTGGCCGTGGCTAGGCCGCAGAGGGAGGTTTCTGGCCTGAACACACAGATGTTTCTAACGGCTGGAGTGGCCCCTCGTGGAAGGGACTCAGCGGCTCAGCTGCTCTCCCTCTCCCCTGGTCTCCGGTCCGGCCCTTCCAAAAGCCGGTGCCCACAGCGGGCCAGCCCGCCTGCCCACCCACCTGGCCCAGGTCCAGGATGAAGCAGTCGCCGGTGTTGAAGCTGCCCCAGCTCAGCGCCCGCTCCGTGGCGCGGATGTTCTTCTTCCCCTTCACCTGGTACAGCTTCCGGACGGCCTCCGGGGCGGCCTCCGCGGAGATCTTGTGAAAGGCCGACTCCACGCCGCCCTCCTGCAGCCAGGGCACAGCCTCAGCGGGCTGGCAGGGGCACAGCGCCCGCCCCCCGCACCCATCCACCGGGAGACGGACCCTGCCCCCCCTCCCCCCGCACCCATCCACCGGGAGACGGACCCTGCCCCCCCTCCCCCCGCACCCATCCACCGGGAGACGGACCCGGCCCCCCGCACCCATCCACCGGGAGACCGACCCGGCCCCCCGCACCCATCCACCGGGAGACGGACCCGGCCCCCCGCACCCATCCACCGGGAGACGGACCCTGCCCCCCGCACCCATCCACCAGGAGACGGACCCGGCCCCCCACACCCATCCACCGGGAGACGGACCCTGCCCCCCGCACCCATCCACCAGGAGACGGACCCGGCCCCCCACACCCATCCCACCGGGAGACAGACCCTGCCCCCCCTCCCCCCGCACCCATCCACCGGGAGACAGACCCAGCCCCCCGCACCCATCCACCGGGAGACGGACCCTGCCCCCCGCACCCATCCACCAGGAGACGGACCCGGCCCCCCACACCCATCCCACCGGGAGACAGACCCTGCCCCCCCTCCCCCCGCACCCATCCACCGGGAGACAGACCCAGCCCCCCGCACCCATCCACCGGGAGACGGACCCGGCCCCCCCTCCCCCCGCACCCATCCACCGGGAGACAGACCCAGCCCCCCGCACCCATCCACCGGGAGACGGACCCGGCCCCCCGCACCCATCCACCGGGAGACGGACCCTGCCCCCCGCACCCATCCACCGGGCAGACGCTGGGGAGGACTCGGCCCGAGGGCACCGGGGCCCTGCAGGCTGAGGACCAGCGGGCGGGGCGGGCTCGGGAGCCGCGGACGGCTGACCTGGTACTTGAGGCCCCGCGGGAAGTAGCTCATGAAGAGGTCGGACTCGTTGCCCTGCACCTCGCGGTGCTGCACCGGCCGCTCCCCCAGCAGCGTGTTGAGGTGCACGGCCAGCACGGCGCAGGCTCCCTGCTCATCCCGGGAGGACTGCTGGCCTGGTGGGGGGAGGGGGAGGGCCGGGCCCGTGAGACCCTGGCCAGCCTGGGGGCCCGGCCCCCGGCCCGGCAGGCCCGCCCTCACCTATCCACAGGTGCAGGTGGGAGAACTCCTCCGTGCCGTTGTACAGCACCAGGTAGGAGTCCCCCGAGAAGAAAACGCCCTGGTTCTCGGGGGCCACGGGCACCGGCTTCATCTTCTCCACCCGCCATACGTACAGGCCGGGGTCCTGCACCGACGTGGAGAACGGAGAGCTGCTGTGGAAGGGGAGGGGGGCGGCCTGGAGCAGAGAGACCTGGGCAGGCCCGCACCGCCATGTGGGGAGGAGGGGTGCACGGAGGAGAGGCAGCCTTGGAAATGAAGGAGGGGAGGATGGGAGGGTGGGAGGGGATGGGGTGCACAGCCTACCTCTGGGGGATGGGCGTGTACATGCTGTCTGCAGACCTGGAAGGAGAGAAGACGCCGTTATTGTTACAGATGTCACGACGACCACCCTTCACGGTGGTCCCGAGAGGCCCACGTTGGCGGAGCGGTTTCATGTTTGTCAGCTACTTCACCTCCGAGAGCACAAGAGAGTACACCTGGCTCCCTACGCTGGCAAAGAAACCAGAGAAACGGAGGCTCAGAGAGCCCAAGTCCAAGGGCACACAGCTAGCAAGTGGCTAGGGACACTGGGTGTCTGGCTGCCGGGCCAGTGTCTTCCCCTTGCTGTGACCACTGAGCCACACCTCTCTTCTGCTTCCAGACCTGAGCATGGCTTGGGGCTGGAATGCAGCTCTCTGAGCAATAACTGCTTATGTTATAAAGTCTAAAATCAATGACTTAAGTTTCCGCACACACATACACACAAAAAGCAAATTAAACCCAAAATAATAAAAAGAAAACCTATACTAATAAAAGGCTAAATACAAATTGGTCACACACCCTCACAGTAACAACCGAACAGCAGGCTGTGTGGGGTGACAAGGGGACCAGGGGACCTGAGGCTGCGCCCCCCTGCCTGGCTGGCTTGACAGGGGACCTCAAAGTGCACCCCTAGTGCTGGGTCAGGGGAACTCAGGCTGCACCCCGACCCAGTGGGGCTTGATGGGGGACCTGAGGCTATGGCCCCCCCGCTGCCTGGCGGGGCTTGATATGGGATCTCAGGCCGTCCTCTACCTAGTGGGGCTGGATGGAAGTCCTCAAGGCACGCCCCCCCACCCCGATCTAGGCTGGGGGCCCACATCACCCATCCTGGCACCAGAGGCTACGCTCCTGGCAGGACTTGACAAGGGTGGGACTGTCTGGGTCTGGATCTAACCCAATGTGGGGGCGTGGCCTGGCCGGGTCTGGGTCTCACTCGATTTTGAGGTGCATGTGGGTGAGTGGGGACTTGACTCTGAGTTCCGTGGTGTGCCCCAGACTCTAACAGGAGGAAGGTTTTATACATTCTACTAATTTTCTTTCATCTCTGATGCTTCTATTATAGAGAAAGGGCAAAAAGCAACATTAAATTATTTCCTCTAATTAATTACCTTTTAATGTGCACAAATTTCGTGCATCGGGTCACTAGTATAAAGAATAAAACAGCCAACACCGGTTTGGCTCAGTGGATAGAGCGTCAGCCAGCGGACTGAAGGGTTCCGGGTTCAATTCCGGTCAAGGGCATGTACATTGGTTGCGGAGGCAGCAGAGGCAGCTGGTCGATGTCTCTCTCTCATCGATGTTATCTCTCTCCCTTCCTCTCTGTAAAAAAAAAATCAATAAAAAATATATTTTTAAAAAAATTATTAAAAAAAAAAGAATAAAACATATGACTAAATGGAGGTTTATCCCAGGAATGCAATGTTTGTTTAACATCTGAAAATCAAGCAATGTAATACACCCTATTAACTATCTCTTTATTTTTATCTCAATAGATGCAGAAAAAGCAGTTAGCAGAATCCTATATCCATTCCTGATTTTTAAGAAGGAAAAAAAAAAAGTTACCCAGCCGGTTTTAGTGTCAACTTATGAACCAGGAGGGCATGGTTCGATTCCCGGTCAGGGCGTAGGCCTGGGCTGTGGGCTAGATCCCCACCCCGTGTGCGGCATGCCGGAGGCAGCTGATCAATGATTCTTATCATTGATGTTTCTATCTCTCTCTCCCCCTCCCTTCCTCTCTGAAATAAATATAATTAAAAAAACAAAACAAAACACAACTTTTGCTGAAACTCGCTTGGCTCAATGGATAGAGTGTTGACCTGAGGACTGAAAAGTCCCGGGTTCGATTCTGGTCAAGGGCATGTACCTTGGTTGCGGGCACATCCCCAGTGGGGGGTGTGCAGGAAACAGCTGATTGATGATTCTCTTTCATCGATGTTTCTAACTCTCTATCCCTCTCTCTTCCTCTCTATAAAAAAATCAATAAAATATATTAAAAACAAAAAACACAACTTTCAAAGCCCTGACCCAGTATCAAAACAAAAAATAAACAAGTGAAAAAAAGTTTTAGCGAACTTCCTTAATCTGATAAAAGGTACCTACCAAAACAAAACAGAAAAACAAAAAACCCTAAAGTTAACATTAAACTTAGTATCTTCTCTAAGGTACTAAGTCTCTAAGTCTAAACTCGCTCTGAGGAATGGCACCCATCCTGGGTCATCAGCTACCATTTCTGTATCCGGCTCCCTTCAGACGCCAGAGCAATGAACCTCATCTTTACTCTGTAGGTTGGGAACGGCAACTTTTTTGGGACAAAAATTATTCAAGGGAAAAAAATGCTAAAGGCAAGCACTTTAAACATATATTAACTTTTTTAAAAAGAGCGTCATCCTGATGTGCCAAGGTTTTGGGTTCAATCCTGGATCAAGGCACATATAAGAATCAACTAATGAATGCATAAATGAGTGGAACAATAAATCTCTCTTTTTCCCCTGAATCAATTAATAACATTTTTTAAAAAAAATAATACAAATATGTAAATGTAGTGGCGACAGCTTCACGCACTGTCTCTTTCGTGTGTTCCCATTACTAGAGGGTTTCTTTTTTTGGCTTAAAATGAAGAACCCACACCAGCTAGTACTGCAACACAGTTAGCATTTTAAAACATTGATTTGAGAGAGAAACATCAATTTGTTGTTCCACTCATTTATGCATTTAAAAAAATTTAATACGGGAGGACATGCTTAGAAAGGGGTGGAAGGGGAGTAGGGAGAAGGAGAGGAAGAGGGAGAGGAAGAGAGGAGAAACATTTATGTGTGAGAGAACATTAATTGGTTGCCTTCTATACATGCCCAACCTGGAATCGAACCTGCAACCCAGATATGTGCCCTGACCAGGAATCGAACCTGCGACCTTTCAGTATATAGGACTGATGCTCAACCGACTGGGCCACTCGGTTGAAGAGGAAAGTCTGGGAAAGGGAAAGCAGAGGAAAGTCTCTGGTGGAGGGGCCCGAAGAGCAGGGGGCGCCAGCTACCTGAAGGAGAGCCCAGGTAAATGATGACTTCCTTTTCCACTCTAACTTGCCACACAGCTGAAGGCATTTTTTGGAACCACACTTCCCCCAGGGGGGTGGCAGCGAGGGGGAGGTTGGAGCAGGAACCTGTAACACTTCTCTGTCCCCACAGGGAGTCACATGCTGTGCCCACATCCCCTGCAACAGGCTGCGGCCTGTGACTCAGGCCTGAGGCGGCGAGGCCACTGCCCTGGCCCACGCCGGTGGGGGGTGGGGGACAGGGGTGGAATAGAGATGGTGTGATCCAGAGGACCCACCTCAGCTTTGCTGCTTTTCACCCTGAGATATGGATCTGAGAGCTCAGGCCACAACCCAAAAGCAGGCGGCCACGGGCCTTGGAGAGCCACGCCAGCGTCCTGATGAAAGCCTGCCTGCTCCGTTCTCACCCTGGCTCTCCACCGTGGCTACGCGTTAGGATTACCTCAGGATCGTATACAAACAGGGGTGGCCAACCAGCCTGTGTGGCTCAGTGGTTGAGTGAGCATCAATCCATGAACCAGGAGGTCAGGGCTCCATCCCCAGAAGGGGCGTGCAGGAGGCAGCTGATCAATGATTCTCATCACTGATGTTTCTCTCTCTCTCTCTCCCTTTCCCTTCCTCTCAGAAATCAATAAAAATATTAAAAACAAAACAAAAAACAGGGATGGCCAAGCCCCAGGCGGGAGACTTGGGTCCCACAGGTCTGCAGGGGGCCGTGCACCAGCACGTTGTATGTTCCAGGTGATTCTGACGCTGCCAGTGAGCCGCCCAGACCTGGGCCTCACACTTGTCTGCACGTCAGAATCACCTGGAAGGCAGAGCAGGGCCACCTAGCAAACCAGTTCAAACCAGACTGAGAAATTCCAGGTGCCTCTCGGGCATCCGGTCAGAGCTGACAGCCCGCTGACCCCTCAGGTCCCTGCCCCCCAGCCTGCTGCTCCAGCCTCACCCGCAAGGTCAGCCCACAGTCCCTGGAGCCTCCTCAGTGGGCACCTCCTGCCTCCTGCCCATCAAAGCCCATGCACCCACCCCCTGCCCATATCACGTCCCAGGAGCTTCCAGGGCATTCGGTGGCCGGGCCTTCTGGGGAGTTCTCCCAGCCTCGCACCGGGGCCCACACGCTTCAGTCCCAGCTCTTAGGCTCCCTCAGAGGGAGCCTGACCGCCTTGTGGCTCAGCCAGAGGAGGAGACAGGCCTGAGGGCCCTGCATTCCTCACGGAAGACTCTAACCCATTCCATTCCAGTCGGTGCTGGGAGTTGGGCCCCGGTGCTGGGAGTAGGGCCCCGGGCAGGGAGGGGGGATGGGGGGAGGCAGAAATGAAGAACAGCCTGTGGCCCTGCTCTGCCTGGAGGGGCCATGAGCGGGGAGCCACCACAGCCAGTGGGAGCGCAGACACACGGCCCTGGGTGGGGGTGGCACAGAATCCCGGTCCTCAGGGCCTCAGCCTTAGAAGGCACCTGAGTGCTGCCCTGCAGGGGCTCCAGCTATCAGACCAGACGGGGCTGAGAGCGCAGGGCTGAGCAGAGTGAGACAGGCTGGAGCAGGGACCCAGTCAGCCTGTCCTGATCGGCGTGGGAGGGCATGCCCTGGAGCGGGCGGGGGCTGCTGCTGTGCTTACATTTCAGGCAGTGCCTGGAGGCTGTCAAAAGACAAAAGTCCTCTGTTGTGTCCTTGCTCCCTGATTCCACTGACCCCCAACAGGCCTCTTCTCCTCCCGTCCCAGGGTGTCCCTCCTGTGGAATGGAACAGTCCCCTCCACTGCCCCAAACACTCCCCCAAACACCAGACCCCAGGTCCGGGGAAACCGCCTTCTCTCCCACCAGCTGGGTCCACAGGCTCCTGTGCGGTGTACTCCCTCCCCATTCCACCCCATACCAATAGGACCCCCTCGCAGCTCCCCCTTCACCCCTCCCCCTTCACCCCTCCTCTCCTCACACCCCAGGCAGCAGCAGGTCCTCCGCAGGATCTGGGAT